CGTGCCCCCTCCTCCCCGCGCCCCCCTCTTCCCGCTGCCTTTTCTTTTCCCGCACAATCGCTGGCATTTATGGCGCCGGAGGCTCCGCTTACCCCGCGCCCGCTCGCTGTCACCGCCAGGCTGGGGACGGTGACACCGGAGCCCCGCTCGGGGTTCCAGGAGCCCGAGGCTGCCCCACGGCCCCCCCGGCCCCCGAGCCCCCCGGCACGGCCGGATTCTCAGCGGCCGATGGACCCCCAGCCCTGGGGTGGCTTTTTGGGGTCCCCCTCCCTCTCTGCCTCTGTCCCTCGGTGGCTTTGGGGTGCCGCTGTGTGACAAAGCGGGCAGGAACAGCTCATTTCCCGCTTGTTGGGGACACGGTGGGGACAGCTGGGCGTCACTGGGAGCTGTGGCGCTGTGGGGACAGGTTTGGATGTCCCTGAGATGGTGGGGACGTGGTTTAGTGTCCCAGGGGTGGTGACACCCCGAGGACGGGGCCACTTGTCCCCAGGGGCTGTGACACCAGGGTCGGGTCCCGCTGGGGTCACCTCCTGCCCAGGGGCTGTGGCACAAGAAGGGGACGGGGTTGGGGACAGCGGCGGGTCTCACGCGGGGCCGGTGACACCGCGGAGGGGCTGGGGACGCGTCCCCCCGCTGGCACCGCCCGGCCCCGCACAATGTCACCATCCCTGTCCCCGCGGGGGCGGAGGGCGCCGCTTCGATCGCTCCGGCTCCCGTGGAATTAATGATCAATTAATTCCCTGCCCGGCTGCTAATTACCCAGCCCGGCCCCTCGGGGACGAGCGACAGGCTGGGGACGGTGGCCCAGCATGGTGAGGGGACAGCGGCGGTGGCACTGGGGCTGTCTGGGTGGGGGGTGCTGTGACACTCTGAAGTGTCCCTGGAGATTTTCCAAGACACCCCGGTGGCGTTTTGGGAGGGGGCAGAGCCTCTCTGGCTCCCCTCTTGTCCCCATGTCCCCGCGTGTCTCTCTGTCCGTGTGTCCTCATCCTCCTGTCCCCGTGTCCCCATGTCACCAGCAGCGCCTTTGTCACCCAGTGACAAACCACCGGCATGGCCCCAATGCCCGGCGACACCTGAGGCTTTGGGGTGCTCCGGGGGGGGTTCCCGGTGCGTGCTGCCCCTGCCAGCCCTGCCCGTGCCCGCAGGTGCCCAGCCGGGCCGGGGGCCACCATGGCACCGCCACCCCGCGTCCCCCTGCTGCTGCTGCTGCTGCTGGCGGCCGAGAGGACGGCGAGGGGCACCTTCCCCGAGGAGCCCGGCCCCATCGCCGTGGCCCCCCCGGACTGTGAGTGCCCACCCGGGGCTGGGGGGGTCGGGGCGCTGCCCCGGGGCACGGGGGGTAAGGTTGGCACCGAAAGGGAAAGGGGGGTTGGGGGCGTTGGGGTGAAGGGAGAAGGGGGCACGCAAGGGAGGGTTTGGGGTAGGACAGGGTGGGACCTGGGTGGGCTGGGCTCTGGGTTACTTTTGGGGGTACCTCTGGAAGGGGTTTTGGGGTGCTTTGGGGTCAAGGCAGGCGGGGGGGGGGCACCCACGGGTTGGGATTTTGGGCTGATGGCAGGAGGGAGGGCAGGCGTGTGACCCCCGTGCCCCCCCAGATGTGAAGCACTACCCCGTGTTCGTGGGGCACGGCACCGCCCGGCCGGGGGGGCCCGAGGGGGGGGGCAGCCAGCGCCTCAACATCCAGCGCATCCTCAAGGTCAACAGGACCCTCTTCATCGGGGACAGGTCTGCACCCCCGCACCCCAAAGCCTCCCCTGCCCCGGGGTGGGCACCCCACACCCGCCCCACTCCTCTTTGCTGGGCAGGACCCCACTGCCTGCCCGGGGCACCCGCTCCGTGTCCGGGGGCACTGGGGGGGGGGCACTGGCACCGGCGCTGCCCTGGTGAGGTTCATTGTCCACCCCAGCACCCCAAACCTTCCCGGGGGGGGCGTGTGGGGGTGGATCCTGTACCCCCAGCGCTGGGGGGCACATCCCAGTGGGGGGGTGGTGACACCCGTGTCCCCCTCCCCAGGGACAATGTCTATCGGGTCAGCCTGGAGCCCAGCGGGGCCGCTGAGATGCGCTACCACCGGGTAAGTGCTGGGGGTGCTGGGGGGTCCCGGGGGCCCCAGGGGTGCTGGGGGGTCTCAGGAAGCTCTGGGAGGCCTCAGGGGGGGTCTCACGGGGATGCTGTTGGCCTGTCCCTGTCCCCACACTGGTTTTCCCCCCCCCAGAAACTGACGTGGCGCTCGAACCAGCACGACATCAGCATCTGCCGGATGAAGGGCAAGCACGAGGTACAGCCTGCGGGATGTGCCCCCCGTGGGCACCCCCGGCTGGGGGCTGAGCACCCTCTGTGGCCGTGTCACACCTGTCCCCTCCCCGCTGTCACCACCCCACTCCCTCCCAGCGGTTGTACCAGTGATTTGTTGGCCGCTCGGCTGAATTGATTTGTAATTAATTATTGGGGACCAGAATCCCATTCCCGGCTCCTGTAAGTGCAGTTTTGGGGTGAGAACAGCCCCCCCAAGCCATCCCCTGGCAGTGATGAGAGCCTGGGTGGGCAGGGATGAGGTGAGTGGGGTTTTGGGGTGCTGAGGGTGACTGTCCCCTCTCCCGGCGCAGGCAGAGTGCCGAAATTTCATCAAGGTGCTGCTGGTGAGGAATGAGAGCCTCCTCTTCGTCTGTGGCACCAACGCCTTCAACCCCGTCTGCGCCAACTACAGCGTGAGTCCCCGGGGTGGGACCCCTGTGGGAGGGGGCTTGGGGTCAGGGGAGGAGGGGACACCATGGGAAGGGTTTGGGGTCAGGGGAGGAGGGGACACCATGGGAAGGGTTTGGGGTGAAGACAGGAGGGGACACCATGGGAAGGGTTTTGGGGTGAAGGCAGAAAGGGGCACCCATGTCAAGGGTCTGCAGCACCAACACCTTCAGCTCTGTCTGTGCCAACTGCAGCTCAGGATGGGGACCCCGGGTGCCCCCCGTGCCCGGGTGTGGCCTCACGTCCCCTGTCACCCGCTCTAGATGGACACGCTGGAGCCCGTCGGGGACAACATCAGCGGCATGGCCCGCTGTCCCTACGACCCCAAGCACGCCAACGTGGCCCTGTTCACAGGTCAGTGGTGGCACTGCCAGCGTCACAGCGGGCACCGTGTCCCCCGGCCCCGCTGACACCTTGTCCCGTGCAGGGGGGATGCTCTTCACCGCCACGGTGACGGATTTCCTGGCCATCGACGCCGTCATCTACCGCAGCCTCGGGGACAGCCCGACCCTGCGCACCGTCAAACACGACTCCAAGTGGTTCAAAGGTGTGTCCCCACCCTGGGCTGTGCCAGGACATGGCACGTGTCCCCTGTGACCCCACCCCGGGCCATCCCTGACCCCGCTGTCCCCGCAGAGCCCTACTTCGTGCACGCCGTGGAATGGAGGAGCCACGTCTACTTCTTCTTCCGCGAGATCGCCATGGAGTTCAACTACCTGGAGAAGGTGGGACACGTCCCACTGGGAAGCAGATTCACAGAATTCAGATAACTCACAGAATTCACAGAATTCACAGAATCACAGAACTCACAGAACTTACAGAATTCACGGAATTCACAGAACTCACAGAACTCACAGAATTCACAGAATTCACAGAATCACAGAACTTACAGAATTCACAGAATTCACAGAATCACAGAACTCACAGAATCACAGAACTCACAGAATCCCTGGGTTGGAAGAGACCCTAAAGACCATGGAGTCCAGCCCAGGCCCAACAGCTCAGCTGAGCCCTGGCCCCCAGTGCCACATCCAGGCTGTGTTAAACACCCCCAGGGATGGTGACTGCACCACCTCCCCGGGCAGAACATTCCAGAACTTTATCACCCTTCCTGTAAAAATCTTCTTCTAATGTCCAACCTACATTTCCCTTGACACTGGATGATCCCACAGCTCCCTTCCGACCCAAACCATTCTGGGATGCCCACAGAGACACCCAGGGTGGGGACAGGGACACAGGGATGGCCATTTTGGGTGGTGACAGGTGTCCTCCCTGCAGGTGGTGGTGTCACGGGTGGCCCGGGTGTGCAAGAACGACATGGGGGGCTCGCAGCGGGTGCTGGAGAAGCAGTGGACGTCCTTCCTCAAGGCCCGGCTCAACTGCTCCGTGCCGGGCGATTCCCACTTCTACTTCAACGTCATCCAAGCCGTGACGGACATCCTGGAGCTGGACGGGCGCCCCGTGGTCCTGGCCGTGTTCTCCACGCCCACCAACAGGTCAGAGCCTCGTGTGCCCTGCCCAGGCTGCCCGGGCTCAGCGGGATCCGAGCTGGGTGCCAGCTGGGATCTGGCTGGAATCCGAGCTGGATCCTGAGTGGGATCTGGGATGGGGTCTGGGATGGGTCCAGCGGGTCCTGGACGGGAAATGGGGGGGATTCATTTCCGTTTGGGACCTGCAGGGCCCCTCGCGCTCCCCGGGGCCTCCCCTGCTCACCCCTGAGCCGTGTCCCTGCAGCATCCCCGGCTCCGCCGTCTGCGCCTTCGACATGACCCAGGTGGCCGCCGTCTTCGAGGGACGGTTCCGGGAGCAGAAGTCACCCGAGTCCATCTGGACACCTGTGCCGGAGGACATGGTGCCAAAGCCACGGTGAGGGACAGCGAGGGGGACAGAGCTGGCAAGGACTGTTAGTGGCAGGGACAGCGGTGGGACTGGGGAAAGGAAGAGGGCTGGGGACAGGGACAGCGGCAGCCACGGCCTGTACCTGCTGGGAAGGATCAGGGCTGGGGACAGGGACAGCGGCAGCCACGGCCTGTACTTGCTGGGAAGGGACAGGGCTCGGGACAGGGGTGATGATACCCACGGCCAGTACCAGCGGGGCTGGGGACAGGCTGGGGACAGGGGGGAGGATAACCACGGCCTGTACCTGCTGGGACGGGACAGGGCTGGGGACAGGGGTGATGATACCCACGGCCAGTACCAGCGGGGCTGGGGACAGGCTGGGGACAGCGCCACTGAGCCGTGCCGTGGCCGCAGGCCCGGGTGCTGCGCGTCCCCGGGGATGCGCTACAACTCCTCCAGCGCCTTCCCCGACGAGATCCTCAACTTCGTCAAGACGCATCCGCTGATGGACGAGGCGGTGCCGGCCCTGGGCAACGCCCCCTGGATCCTCCGCACCATGACCCGGTGGGTGTCCGGGGGGCTTGGGGGCACTGGGGGGCACTGGGAGGGCTGGAAGGGGCTGGGAGGTGCTGGAGGTGCTGGGCAGAGCTCCCTGTGCTGCCTTTCCACGCTCGTGCCAGCACTGGGAGTGCTGATAAATCTCATACACTTTGCAGTCAAGATTGTCTCGTCCTAATTAAATCTGCCTTAATTGCTGCTTGATGGGGAATTAATCAAGCCGTGCTCTTGGGCCGCAGCCTCCCGCCGGCAGGGCAGCTGGGGCGTGAGCAGGGATGGGGACAGGGACAGGAATGGGGACAGGGATGTGGAATGGGGTCAGGGACAGGAATGGGGACAGGGACAGGAATGGGGACAGGGACCTGGGGATGGGGGGAGGGAATGGGGATAGGGATGTGGGGCTGGAGCTGGGGACACAGGGCTGGGATGGGGATGTGGGGCTGGGCGCCTCACCCTTTCCCCTCCCTGGGGACCCCTGGATTCCCCCACACCCCAACCCTGCTCCCTCCCCCACGCAGGTACCAGCTCCGTAAGATCGTGGTGGACAACGCAGCGGGGCCGTGGGGCAACCACACCGTGGTGTTCCTGGGCTCCAGCACCGGCACCGTGCTCAAGTTCCTCATCCTGCCCAACGCCACCAGCAGCCCCGCGCCCGCCGCCCCCGGCAGCCAGAGCGTCTTCCTGGAGGAGTTTGAGACCTACCAGCCCGGGAGGTGAGTGCCAGCGTGCCAGGGGAAGGAGAGGGGGCAGTAAAAGGGATGGATGGATGGATGGATGGATGATGGATGGAAGGATGGATGATGGATGGATGGATGGATGGAGGGATGGATGGATGGATGGATGATGGATGGAAGGATGGATGATGGATGGATGGATGGATGGAGGGATGGATGGATGGATGGATGATGGATGGAAGGATGGATGATGGATGGATGGATGGATGGAGGGATGGATGGATGGATGGATGATGGATGGAAGGATGGATGATGGATGGATGGATGGATGGAGGGATGGATGGATGGATGGATGATGGATGGAAGGATGGATGATGGATGGATGGATGGATGGAGGGATGGATGGATGGATGGATGATGGATGGAAGGATGGATGATGGATGGATGGATGGATGGAGGGATGGATGGATGGATGGATGATGGATGGAAGGATGGATGGCGGATGGATGGATGGATGGATGGATGGATGAGAGGAATGCAAGGGGGAATGGATGAGAGAATCTCCTCTGGAGTGGGCCAGGCTCTGTGGAGGGCCCTGTGGCCCAGGGCTGGGGCTTTGATGAGCTCTGCGCTGTCCCCAGGTGTGGCCGGGACACGGAGGACGAGCGGCGGCTCCTGGGGCTGGAGCTGGACAAGGCTGCGGGGTCCCTGCTGCTGGCCTTCCCCCCGTGCGTGGCCAGGGTGCCCGTGGCTCGCTGCCAGCAGCACTCGGGCTGCATGAAGTGAGTGCCTGGGGCTGGGCAGGGCTCGCCGGCGGGGGCTCACATCACCTCACATCCCAGGAATTCCCCCTGTGCTGGACAGGGCTCAGCACGGCTGGGAGCGAGGCTGGGGAAACTGAGGCACGGCACGGGGCGGGGACAGAGTCCCTTGCGGGGGCCGGGGTGTTGTGTGCCCCCATCGGGGCTGACCCTGACGTCTCTGCTCCCTGCCAGGAACTGCCTCGGGAGCCGGGATCCCTACTGTGGCTGGACACCCGAGGGCTCCTGCATCTTCCTGGAGCCCAGCCCCAGGTAACGCTGCCAGGCCTGGGGACACGCAGGGGACAGCGGTGTCCCCAGAGAGCCCCGGCTCCTGCAGCCCCAACCGCTGATCCCCGGCAAACTCACTGCTGGCTGACGGGGACTGGGAGACCCTGCCAGGCCATTTGGCACCCACTGACCCCCCAATGTGCACCCCCAGGGCGGCCTTCGAGCAGGACATCGCCGGCGGCAGCACATCCCACCTGGGCGAGTGCGAGGGTGAGTGCGGGGCCGGGACCAGGCTCGGGGACGTGGTGGCGGCCCCCGCAGGTGCCCTGACGCGTCCCCAACCCCAGGGCTGGTGACGGAGAGCTTCGTGGACGAGCCGGACGGGCTGGTGTCGGTGAACCTCCTGGTGATCTCCTCCGTCGCCGCCTTCGTCATCGGCGCCGTGATCTCCGGTTTCAGCGTGTGCTGGTTCATCGGGCACCGGGACCGCAAGGAGCTGGCGCGGCGCAAGGACAAGGAGACGATCCTGGCGCACAGTGAGTCGGTGGTGAGCGTCAGCCGCCTGGGCGAGCGGCGGGCTCGCGGCGCCTTGCTGGCCCCGCTGATGCCCAACGGGTGGCCCAAGGAGCTGGCCAAGGTCACCCAACACGACCTGGACTCGGGGGTGCTGCCCACGCCGGAGCAGACCCCGCTGCAGCAGAAACGCTGCCCCGGAGCCCTCCAAAACTGCACCTGGGAGCAGAGTCACAACATCATCAACGCGGCTTTGCGGGACCCTGGCGGCTCCGGGCCCGCGGGCGCCGGGCGGGGGCACGGCGGCTCCGGCCGCCCGCCGCGGGGCATCCCCCTCTCCTGCCACGCCATCCTGGTGGACCAGGAGCTGGAGGCCGAACTCAGCGACTCCTCAGGGGACGGGCATTGGGCTCGAGACCCCCAGGAGGGTCCCCGCACCCGGCAGCACCCACCCGCCGGCGCCCGCCGCCCGCCCCGCGGCTCCTACGGCGACTTCGGGGGGACGCCGCACCCCAGCCCCGAGCGCCGGCGGGTGGTCTCGGCGCCCAGCGGGGAGGGGGGAGACTTTACCGAGGGGCCGCCCTGGCACCCCGAGCAGCTGAACTTCAATGCCAACAACGGCACGGGCCGCCCCGGCGCCCACCTCAAGAGGAACCACACGTTCAACAGCGGCGAGGCGGCGGCGGGCGGCTACGGGCGGCACGGCACGGCGGCCCGGGCAGCGCGGGCACCGGGCACCCCGCGGCCGCTCACGGACCTGCAGCACCTCCTGCGCTACGGCGTGGAGCGGACTCCCTCGGGAAAATAGGGTCCCAGCCTGTGTGCGTCCCCCTCGCCAGGACACCGATGGGGGCCCCGGCTCCCTGGGGACACGGAGGGGTGGCCGGGCAGGAGCTGCGGGCAGGGGGTGAGGTGCGGCATGGGTGAGGGGGGCACAGGCACCCCCTGGGTGCCCCCCGGAGAGGGTTTGGGGGTGTGCCCGGCTGGCGTGGGGCAGTGCCCCGCGCTCCGGCTGCGTTGTCCCATGTGCCATCCACCGCGTCCCCTCCCCGGGCTGGAGCAGCACCCGGGGAGGGGCATCCCTGGGGGGCAGCAGGATGGACACACGGACACGGGCACCGGGCTGTGCCCCCCCCCAGCCCGCAGTGGCACCCGGGGGGCCTTTTGGGTGCTGCCAGCCCCCTGGGGACACCCGGCCGGGGGTGCACTGGTTGTGGTGAGGGAACCTGGTGAACATTTTGGTGCGGGGGGCTGGGGGCCCCCCGAATGTGGCGTTATCTGGGGATGGGGCACACTCCCACCCCCAGTCTGGGGTCAGCCCTTTCCCAGTGCCAGCCTGGGGGTTGCCCATCCTTCCCCCCGCCCCCCGGCACCCCCTCCTGGAAAGCACAGCCGGGGTGGGGGGGCACCGCGGGGGGGTCCCCACCGAACCCACTCTCTGCTGGCAAAGGGTGCCCTTTCGGTGCCACCCCTGCCCGGCATCCACCCGGGGTGGCGTGTCGCGGGGGAGTGGCGGGTCCCCGGGGGATGGCAGGTCCCCAGGGGGTGGCAGGCTGTAAATAGGGCAGGGGGCGGCGGGAGCCCCCCCCCCCCCAGCGGCCATGCATGCGGCCGCCCGCGGGCTGTACCCCGCGGCCCCAATAAACACCCGGTTACCGGAGGCGACTCCCCCGCCGCCGCCTCGGCACCTTCTTAACCCCCCCGGGAGCCGGGACCGGCCGGGGGAGGGGGGCACAGGGCTGGGGGGGGCACAGGGCTGGGGGGGCACAGGGTGGCACCCCCTCCGTGGGACCCGCACAGCCCAGCGCACCCGGCCCCCCGAGGGTCCCCATCCCACTTTCCCCACGAATTCCCCCGGGACAAGGCGGTGCCCCTGCTCGTGCCACCCCACACCCGCCGTGTCCCCTTTCCTCGCCCCCCGAGGCCACCCACGGGGGTCGCCCACGGCCCTCTGTCCCCTGGCCTGAGCACCCGCAGGGGCTGGGGGACACCTGGCACCCTGAGGGGCTCTGGTGGCACGGGAACGCCTGGGGTGGGGACATCTGGCAAAGGGACACTCGAAGTGGCGATACTTGGCGAGGGCACACCTGGCTTTGGGTCCCTTGGCTTGGGGACACCAGGGGTGGGGACATCTGGCGTGGGGACACCTGGGCTGGCGGCTATCGGGGGTCTCCTGGAGTTGGTTCACCTGGGATGGGGACACTTGGGGAGGGTGGGGACAGCGGCCATTGAGTCCCTTGAGGTGGGAACAAGTGGCAAGGGCACACGTGGCAAGGGGACACCTGCGATGGGGACACCGGGGGAGGGGATAACGGGGGCGGAGACACCTGCAGGGGGGGTGGGACACCGGCCACGGGGGTGGGACACCGGCCACGGGGTCCCTCGGCGCGGGGACACGTGAGAGGTGACCGGGGGCTCGTTCCCCCCGGTGTCCCCCCGGTGTCCCCGCACCCCGCGACGAGCGCGCCCCAGCCCCAAGCCACGCCCCCGGCCACGCCCATCCCTCCTCATTGGCGGAGATCCGGCCCCGCCCCTTCTCTGATTGGCTCCCGCCGCTCCCCGCGGGTCCGGGCTGGGCGGGGCCCGGGGTCGCGATCTCGCCCGGGGGTCGCGACAGAACCCCACCCCCACCCCCGTGAGTACCGTGCCCGGGGCTCGGCGGGAGCGGGAGGAGGGGAGGGGGGCCGGGGGCGTCACGGGAGGCTCCGGAAAGGCTCCGGGGGGGGCTCCAGGTGGTCCCGGGGGGAGTCCGGAGGTCCCCGGGGGCCTCCGGGGGGTGCGGGGGAGGTCGGGGGTCCCAAGGTCCCCGGAGCACCCCAGGAACACCAGAGGGACGCCCCGAGAAACTCCAGGGAACGACCGAGGGTCCCAGGGGACCTGTCCCCCGCAGTGACCCGCCTGGAGCCCCCCGAATCCCCCCGGAGAGCACAGGGCCAGGCCGGGGGTGCTGCGGGAGACCCCAGAGGACAGAGGGGCTGCCGGGGGACCCGGGGGGCTGCCGGGGGCCAGGGGGGCTGCCGGGGCTCGGCTCCCTGCGGGGGCCGGGGGCTGCCCCGGCCGAGCGGCGGTGACGGGCGGTGACGGGCGGTGACGGGCGGCACGTCCCCAGCCCGGGATTGCGACAGACGAGTCCAGACTGGCTTCGCTGAATCACCCAAAAACCCCTCCCCGGCCCCAAAGGGGGTGTGGGGGACCCGGAGGAGGTAGGGGGGGTCCAAGAGGAGTTGAGGGCACCCAGTCCCCCCGTTTCCTGGCAGGGGAGGGGGCCAACCCCGTCCCAAAATCCCTTTCAGACCCCCCAAAACACCCCCGAGAGCCCCTCAGAGCCCGCCAGCCACTCCCACTCGGGTCATGGGATGGTGGCTCTCAGCCCTCCTGGAGCAGGGGCTGGGGGTGTCATCCCAGGGGGGTCCCCACCAGCCTCACCCACCCATGGCACCCCAAAATCTCCCTCTTCCCGCTGCAGCCGCCGCTGCCATGTCGGCCGAAAACGCCGCGGTGCCGGCCGAGCCCGGGCCGGAGACGCAGGTAGGGGTGCACGGGGGGTTCGGGGGGGGGGGGCCGGGGGGGGCTCTGGGGACCCCCTTTTTT